CCAAAATTCGAGTAGCAAGCATGTCTAACAGCACCCTTTGAGGCTGTATATCAGGACGCCCCGCCGCTCCAACCCGATGTAGGAATATATTGGTGGCCTTCTCATATGCTTCGATACATCCGGCATATTCAAGGACATCGGGGTAGGGATATTGTTGCAAGCTCTCATCGTCTAGTTCGCCTAAAGTCTGCAGTGCCTGCGGTGCGTTCAGACGCCATTGCACCAGCCGCTGTAATAGCTCGTGATAAGCCAGGTCTTGTTGTTCGAAGGGCATCAGACCATCTTGTTTCGCTTTTCCAAAGGCACTGATGGCTGCTTGAATCTCCATCATAGCAGACCAACATTGGCGCAATTCCACGAGGTGGTGACTGTAAGCGGGTTGTTCGGCCGATAGGCTTGGTGTACCTAGATTGTATTCCCAGCCACCTCCGTGTGTTGTCCAGTAGCTGCCTTCCACCACGGTTCCCTCGCTGGTGGCACAGGCACCCGCAACGTCTAAGTATGAGAGCAGCGATACGAGGAAGGGTCGAAGTGGGTGATTGATTTCAGCGAGGCGCTTGGCTTCTTTGTCGGGGTCGTCATTGGGGGTGAAAAGTATTCGGTAAATTTCTCGGGCACCCTTCAGATGGATAGCCCAATTATGATGTTGAGAATCCATCATCTGATAAATTAGCAATGCGCTCTCTAGGCCCGAGTGAACAACAAGGGACTCACCTCAAATAGTGACAGTAGAAGGCAGGTGGCGAAATCAGTTAGCCGCACGGTGTGATTGGGGTCTGTATATCGGGTTCTGAATGACTTGACAACCTCGCCATAATTGCTCATGGCTTGTTGGAAGTGCTTGTTTCGCTGTTGCCCTCTGGATGTATTGGCAAGGTGCAACGCACCCATGGCTTGCATAGCGCTGGCCATTGACGTTGAGGATCGAGCGAGCTCAGGGAAGAATCTTCGGTAGGGGTTGATATTGTTCGAATTATCATAGATGAGTAGTAAAGTAGAGACCTGGTCGACGAAATGAGTGTAATACCGGCCTTCGACGCAGTCCAGGGACGACGACAGAAACTCGGCAGGAGAAATGGGGTCTTGGAAGCGATATTTGATCGGCTTCATGTCGGACACTGTCGTTGGAGACACAATTAAGGTTTCGAAGGGCTCATTCTCGTCTCCTGCCGGTTCCTGCTTCACTCTATTGTCCCCTTCGATCTTGATCTTTTTGTCGCATTTCTTGGCAGTGGCGGGAGACGAATCCGCTTGCGGCGGTCCGTAGACTTTGAAGGTCATGCGACCTTGAGTGCCATCACACTCAAGACCCAGGCGTGTACAGTTTTTGCAGGACGGCGATGCTTCGTCGCAGCGGACGTGGCGTCGACGACATGTCGAACAGCCTGTAAATCCTCGGTGATGCCATCGACGGACCCGCTTTCTCTTCTCAGGCGCAGCGGCTGCGGAAAGCTGGGGTTGTGCGGGGGGAAGAGGCTTCCCCGGCGCACAAACCAACGTATGAACCTCCATGTGTAGGAGATAATGCTAGATACGAGTAGACGGTGTGGGGTAGCGACATGAAGGTGAGTGAGGGGCGGAGGTGTCCGACCAGATAAAATCGAGGTCAGACAGCGGATGTCGATATTATACCATCTAGCAGAAGCCAGTGGCGCGAGAAGAAAAAAGTCTCTGGAATCAGAATATCGCTAGAGAAGATGAACGGGCGATGGGGCAAATCAATGGAAGCCGAAAGGGTGAGCGAGGAGTCGAAAAGGATGCCGAAGCACTGGCGATTAGTAGCCGTAGTAATAGGTAGTAAGTAGTAGTGAACGGAGAGCAGTGGTAGTGACCACTAGTTACTTAGTAAGTTAACTAGTTAGATGATGATCGGATTATTAAGTATGGGGGGGCAAATGAGGGAGAACCAAAAGAGCAGGCGGCGAGATACTGGAGCCAGTGGGGCTCCAGACGGTCGGGCATTTGGAAATTTGGGGGAAAAAGAGAGAGGATGGGAAGAAGGGGGGAGGAAAAGGCGAACTGAACTGAACACTTTCGCGGCTGATCGAAAGATAGTCCTGGCCTAGCCATCCCACTCCTCTTTTGCAGATCAGATCATCCACCACATCCTCCTGTTCGGTGTAGCTACAATCTACACCACGAGAGAAGTTCCCTCGAGACAATACTACTTTTCTTGTCAAACAACCCATGAGTATCCCGGTGTAAAGGATATCCCCCTCGTCTGTTTCAATTACGGGTGAGCGCAATAAACGACGGGCGCTGCTGATCGACCCTAGTGGTGGATCATATTACTCTCTAGCCCTCCGTGCTGCGGTGCCTACTGCACTTCCTGTCTAATGATCTGATTTCCTTCGGTACCTCTCTAGCTAGCCTAACTGGTCTGGCGGCAGGATAACCTTTTTTCTGCACAAGAAAATCCCGCATCGACGGCCGTCCAATTGCGAAGAGCAACTGTATGGTACCTCGAAACCTTCCGAGCGATTCCTGCATCGAGTGGCCTTCCTCGTCTTCTAGATCCCCACCCGATCCACTCACGATGATTGCAGTAGAGTGGAAGAGCCACGATGCAGCATGCGGAGGGGGCCTGCTACTGGGCGAATCCCGTAGCCAGAATTCTCCGCCTTCCCCCCTGACCAGTGGCATTGGCATCTGATAATTAGTAGCGAAAGGGAATCGCTAGAGTGACCCGGCCCAAAAGGATTCGCCCAGGAGCCACTAACTCCCGACTATCTCGGTTGCCAAGCACCTGAATGGAACCTTCTCGCCTGCCACTTTACCGGTTCCAGCGGCCTCCTCGTGCCTTTTCATTCGAGACCGTACATAAGTATGTAGCCTGGGGATACCATTTCAGTATCTTCCCCCCTGCCATAAGGATTCCGTGGTAAGCTCAATCAAGTTAATCCGCTTTGCAAAGGGGAAACATGATTGGGCGTGCTGCTGCTGGCCTGTTGATCCATGCAATGTCTCAGTTTGCTAGGCCTCTTCACTCGGTCAACAGGAAACGAACGCTCAACGCCCGTCGACTCCCGAGTGTACCTGCAAGTAGATGACCCCTTGAAAATCTCGTCTCCATGTGTGTGTGGAACGGGTGGTCCCGCACCCCATGAGCTACTGGCAGGCTGGCAGCGTCAAACGAAAATACGAAGAACAGTAGAGATGGCCCTGCACATCCGCTCACCAGTCAGCTCATTTTACACGCAGATCATTGGTGACGTTGCTAGAGGTCTGTGTGCCACTGGGAACCCAGATGATGGTCGATGAGAACCGGTCTGTCTGTGGAGTGGTTCTCCTGGGTCATGTTCCGTGGATCTGCCAAAATCGAGGAAACTGGATGGGATTTTCCCGACCATTCGCTTAGCTGTAACTTCCCACGTCTGCTGACGGTCTAGTCAGTCAACTTGGCAGATATTTTTCCTCGCTGAAATATTTGGAACGTGTCTTGGTATTGCGATATGGCGCGGAGAGCTACTCCTTCAGGATAAACGATGTGTTGGACGGTTTCAGTTTCATGTCGCGGCGGGATTCCGAGCTCAGTAAACTCAAAGCTACGACGAAAGCTAGGCAACATGGAGGCAATCGGGAGTAGATCACCTCTCAAGCCCAGACCATTAACGAGCACGCACTCTGACAAAATGCACGAAAGGCTGTGTATCTGTGGGAGGTACCAAGCACATGCACGGTTGACAAGCCAAAGTACCTACTGAATAAGCAACTATGCACACTCTAGTCAATCTGTTCCTGATTACACTGGTAGACATTGCAACTCTGTAATCACGCAACCTTGACAGTGACATGAAATTGATGGGCGAACAGCTGGGTGCGATTATCATGCGATGTTTGCATTGTCATGCCCAAACAGGTGGTCGGCCACTGCGCCATTATTTGGGCAATATGGGATGAATGTCCATTTGTTGATATGGAAATATGAGTGGGGTGCCTAGCATAAGCGTCGCATTACTTCGACGCATGTTCTTAAGCCAATTACTGCTCTCAGGTAGGCAGATCTCATGCTAGTCGGATGGCTGTATGAGGATACCAGGTTGACCGTTTACATCTCTCGGCCGATTTATGAATGACATTTCAATTCATCCTGTACAATTTACGGCGCATATCCTCTACTTAGTTGTCTGCTAAGTAGAAATGGCTTATATGTACTACTCCGTACATGTGGTGTGTTTCATTCATACGTGCAGTGGTGGAAGCTGACCGGTAACTGCCTACTATGCTGGTCTACTGATGAATCCTTGCTCCGTGGTATGATCCTTTAATATCTTGTGGATATTTGCCTTTGCTTATCAGGCGAGATACTAGCTTTAGTTGTTGCCGCATCGTACGCAAACTAACTTCAGGGTTTCGAGTGTCCGTATCTTTGCTGGTCGATTTTGGGCATAGTGCTGATACTATATATTATTCCCGCAACAAATGTACATCGAAGCGCCCCAACGCCGTGACTAACAATCACTATACAAAAGCAGCGCGTCAATAGTGCTCCGAACGGAATTCTCATGCATCAAACTATAGTAGTGACCACCGTCTTCTTTCACATCCCGTCTCCTTTTCGTCATCCATAAATAGCCGCGTGGCAAAACACTCAACCTTATTATACCCATGCCATTGCTTCAACTTAATTTGAAACCTAGGACTCGCTGTACCTGCCATACATGTATACGAGACGCCAAAAGAATAATCCAGGTCATGAGTAGCCATGGGACATGATGAAGCCAAGTGATCAGCTTGCCACAAAGCGTTGAAGTCGGGATGGGTCGTACCGGCTAGACAACACTGCAGGGCGGTTGCCAAATGTTAACCTACTGAAAAAAAGTGAAATAGTACGGTCTCAACCGCCTATCACTATTTCCTCTAGGCGGAGATCTTGCAGACCATCGGCTGGTTAAATTCGATGTCAAACCTAATGGCAATCTTACGCCATGCATAAAATAACTCCCAAGGCATTCCCGTCCACCATGAGTCCATCAAGACAAGCCGATTACATAACAACAGCCCGGATGGTCTAGTGGTATGATTCCTGCTTCGGGATTTGAAATGCAGGAGGTCCCGCGTTCGAATCGCGGTTCGGGCCCGTAATTTTTTATCTCGTTCATTCGTCCATAGTCACATGACTTTCTCCATGTGACTTCCGCTTGCAATTGCCCGTTTTGTGTGTTGACCACTCCTAACGCGACGGACAGATCTCTGTGGTAACCAATCTATGTGCTGGCGCTTGTGTCTGCCTATGATACATGCTCAGCAGTATGTTTCATAAGTTAGCCCGGATGGTCTAGTGGTATGATTCCTGCTTCGGGTCTTGAAATGCAGGAGGCCCCGCGTTCGAATCGCGGTTCGGGCCCTACTTTTTTGCTTTTTGTTTTACCTTCTCTCTCATGCGACCTAGTTCGCCCACCCCTTTCCTTTGCCTACTCTCTCTCTTTCTCTCTGTCTCTCTCCTTTTTTTTTTTTTTTTTTTTTTTTTTTTTTTTTCACAAGCTGACACCATTTCTTCAGTGCACTGCCACTCTGTGACAGATCCTCAATGACAACATTATTAAGTAATCCAAACTTTATAACTAACTATACTAGTTACCATCTTTGTATGATACTTGCATACAGGAGGCTAACCTACATTCGATTTACATGTACCTTGCTGGCCAACAATCATGCATGTAACCTTCATCTTGCTTACTTAGTAGATCTATATATGGTGTTTACGGTCATGATTCCCCCAAGAAAGCTCACATCTTCGTCCTCACTTGCTACTGTCTACCAATCCTACCATTTCGTGTACCAGTGCACCGTGGCATCACCATACTATGTCTCGCTTCCAGGTGCGTGAAAATAGTGTAAAGGAACCTAAATCAGAGTAGTATAAGCTTTTGCATGCAAGTAGTAGAAGGTGCCAAGATGATCAGAACACTATCCATTCTAGCCTAGCTCCGAGTATGGCCTTGGCCTGTCTAGAGAGAAGATGGCAACATATCTAAACTTTCCATGATCTACTAAGAGCTCCGCCACGATTATCTTCATGTAGGCCTACCCAGGTAAGCACTACGTTCGTGTTCGTGTTGCTTTGAAATTACCTCGAAGAGACGGGACGATCATAAAAAGGTTTAGACTTTAGATAGATAGACAGGTGAAGGAAGATGAGTGGAACCATGAGATTAGAAATGAGAAAAAAAAAATGAAAAACAAGTTGAGTGGGTATCTGCTGGCAAACCAGAAACTCAAATTGCCCGCCAGAAGTAGTAGGAAATCAACATCAACATGCATCAGTGATCGTGAGAAAATGGCAGCGCATCCCAGGTAAGAAAGGCAGGCAGGAAAGTAGGTAGAGGTAGCCTGTTGTTGCTCAGACCTGAGGAGTAACTGTCCTTGAGTCGATAGTAGTCATGTCCAAACCGGCAATAATTTACAAGTAAACCATAACGACGAAAAGTGCACCAGAGAATGATGGAACTGCGGGAGGTGGACAATCTATGACAGGAAATGAACAATACCCTCCAGACCGATCAGGCATCCACGGATACCGTCGGACCAGGAATGGGGAATGTGGCCGATTCCCTGGCCTCTGGCTCTGGTGACTCGGCTCCTGCAGCCTTCCCATTCATTCGATCGAATTCTAGTGTTTCAGCCAGCTCTGCGGCCATTGGATCTAGATCTTCCTCTTTGAGGCCGGTGGCAAGTGCTACCAACTTGCGGTGGACATCGAATTTAGTGCTTACACCCGCATCGGCCGTCTGTTGGACAAGATCCTTCACGGCTGCGCGCCGAGCCTTCTGAGCAGAGCACAATTGACGGGCCATATGATATGTGCGAAGTTGTTGGTCCTGGTCAGATCCCGTATCTTCCTTCTCGGGCACTGGCGTTGATGCGATCCTCTCTCTGAGTCGAGCCTGGTGAATTTGCTCCAAGACGGATTCGTAGCTATGTCTAAGTTGTTCGTAGCGGTCCAGCTGCGCGTCGATTGACTCTTCTTCGGCTTCTTTCGCCACCAGCATACTAACCTGTTTCTGAATCTTTTGCCGATCCGATTCAAGTTGCGCATAAAGTGCCTCTGGATTCGCAACATCGTCTGAATCTTGCTGGTTTGCCTTGGAGCTCCCGTAGCCTGCGGTGAGTTTCCTGTTCGCCTCGGCCATTATGACGGCGATCTTAGACATTAATGCCGAGGTAGCAGGGGAGGAATCCTGCGGAAGGCTGGGAGGCTGGTGATCTGATGTGACAGGTGCTGTGACGTCGGGATCTAATTGATCATTGCCCATCGTGATAGACGAAGGGGGAAGAGGGACGTCGCGCTCATTAGGTGGTACCCGTCGGACGATAGTTGAGGCTGCCTCGCCTTTATTGTTTATAAGCTCACCAGATCGCGGACACCGAGCGAGTAGTAGGTCAACCAAACGAAACGCGCCATTTCGAGCAGCAATCAGAGCAGCAGTGTCCCCATTCTGATCTTGACAAGACAGCAATAAATCAACTTCCTCAGCCGAGAACGTAACGCGTAGCTTGTCTAGCAATACTTCGCAGTAATATCGCGAGCTCTTCCATTTTCCTTTGCTCCGAGTAGTCTCTGCTATGTGGTGGAATAGAGTGGCGCCGAACCAGTCTCGGAATGAGACTGTGTCCAAGAGAAGATCTAATAGCGGTGGAAACGTCCTCTTCTCATAATTGTTCGTGAACAGCACGGCACGCACGAGGGGTGTCTCCTCCTGTTCAGATAGTGCTTTGATATTTGCCCCTCTCCGTAGTAGATCTCTCACAATCTCCAAGTCACCCATGGCGCATGCCCAATGGAGAGCAGTATTTCCAGATTCGTCAATCGCGCGATCGACCTGGAAGTTGGCAGGCGGTTGTGGGGGAGGAATGCGTGTCGCTTCCGGTGCATCCCCTACTGTCATGAAATAATCCAACAACTGATCACCATAGAGTATGTGTTCCTGTTCACTAATTGAGATTGCTGGGGCCTCGTTTATCCCACGCTTGCGCTTTCGTGAGTATGTACCATTTTGGGACATTGCCATAATCTCATCATCCGCGATCATAGACGATGACTCAAGCGTTGCCTGTTCTAAAGATTCATCCTCGTCGAATCCTTGGCTCATTTCATAGGGCTCATAGGGATGATAGGCGGGCGGTGCCATACTTCGGTGCGGTTTTACAGCAGGGACAACTTCTTCATTCGCGACTCTCTTGTTTGTATTCTTTGGGGCTCTTGGCTTCGACGAGGCTGCAGTGGTATGTTTCGGGGCAGGTGGCGGACTGCGATCTCCAGCAACGTAGTCGAATATCGGCCTTAGCTTGTCGATTATGTTGTTGCGCTCAGCGAGCATGCGGCCCTCAGGAAGCGGAATCCATGTCCCTGCACATAGTTGTAGCGTGTCAAAGCGATGCAATATTGGGAATGCTAATAAATCTTACCTTGATATTTCCCATAGCCACCTTGCACCTTTTCATGGACCCCTTTCTGCACCTCGCGTTCCAGGATGCGAGTCCTCGCAGGCTTGTCAAACCCGGCAACTTTCAGAATATGTGTAGCATTTATCCAGTCATCGGAACGCCTTCGCATGACACTGTCACCATCGATTTTGAACTCATAAACCGGGACCTAGCCACCAGTGTTAGATTGCTGTCACAAGCCTGCGCACGGTGTTGTTCAACACGCCTCAAAGGACAAGGTCTTTGCAATACCAGAAAGGGCAAGGTGAAGGAGTACTCACACTGCTATAAGTAGCAGAGTAAACTTTGGAGAAGTCCACGGCCGCCATGATGTGCCTCTTGTAAGCCGATATGATTTTGCGAGGTCCGTACAACAATAGGATGTTTCCGAGCGGCGTCGCGACTTTGACACAAGGACTTAGGAGCCTAAACTTGGCTACCGCAAGGCATCAATTTCAGAAATTATATGTTGTCTTAGTCAATCACATGAATCTCAGTAGAAAGCGAGCCGGGTTGGTCGTAGCCCAGCAACATCTATCTCAACACGCGACGGATGGCAGGGCTGGACAAGACGCGCTCCGGATACGTTGACCGCGTAAAGTGGATTTGGATGCGCTAATCCCGTTGTGGAATCAATAACACGTGATATCACATGACTTATCGTTCGGAAGGAACGACGACTGCGGATAGCTGCAAACCTCACAGCCCAGTCGCCTATCCTTGGAATAACCTTCAATTGAGTCACCCCCTCGTGCCAAGATGACCGCCGCCGAGTCTGTGAAGAGTGCCGTTGGGCTTGCGGACAACACCGGTATGTAACTGTTGCCATTGGTGTCTATTATGACGGAAGGCAGTGGTGTGAAAGTTGGCACCCGATGATCAACGACTAACGCTTGTATTTAGCTGCCTCCCGTCAGGAAATGTCGGATGCCCGTCTTCCCCTCCAGTACCGCGACTCTTGCGCTGGCCTCCTGATCCCATTGAACCGCTGCCGACAGCAAGAGTACTACCTTCCCTGGAAGTGCGAGGTGCGTTGCTTCCACACGAGTTTATCCATGAATTGCTGTTCCTCTTGTCGTGTATGTAACTAATGTCATGCCTATTTCCACCCAATAGGACGAGAGACACAGCTACGAGAAGTGCCAATACGAGGAGTTCAAGAAGCGCGTTGCTAAGATGGAAGAGCTCCGCGCCGCTAAGGGTGGTGCCCGGAGCAACTAATGATACCACAAATATCGGCACGGCATTCGAGACGAGCGAAGGAGCGGGTTATGTACATAGAGATTCTGAGATTGTTTGTCCATGCACCGACATTGGCGTTGGGAATCATCCAAGTCTAGGCTTGCCATCACCTCACCTGCGAGAACCAGAACGGTCGATTGGCTAACCAGTAGCACCAACCGTACTTTTGGAGGTTATTCGGATCTGACGCTGCTTATGAGGTCAGGGTGTCCAAATCATTAGCCACCCTCCATCGGAGAAACAGCACAGGTTTCTTGAGGCCGGAGAGGACTTAGACTTACCCCACCTTCCAACTTTGCAACATGATGAGAGTGACGAATTGTCAAGTGGGATTACCATCAAATATTTGAGACTTTGTCCACGAGTGTCATAAGGTCACAGCTCAATGGCAGCCAGATACAACTCCAGCCA